CGCGGGCCTCTCACTGCTGTGGCCTCTCCCGTTGCGGAGTACAGGCTCCAGGCGTGCAGGCTCTGTGGCCATGGCTCACGGGCCCAGCCGCTCCGCGGCATGTGGGATCTTCCCGGACCGGGTCACGAACCCGTGTCCCCTGCATCAGCAGGTGGACTCTCAACCGCTGCACCACCAGGGAAGCCCCTAATTTCTTTAAGTGGTTGGTTAGGTACTTTATTTGAGGTTTTACTTATTTCTTGAGGAAGGCCTGTATTGCTATAAACTTCCCCCTTAGAACTGCTTTTGCTGCATCTCATAGATTTTGGAGTGTTGTGTTTCCTTTTTCCTTTGTCTCAACATATTTTCTGATTTCCTCTTTGATTTCTTCATTGACCAGGTGGTTTTTTAGTAGCATGTTGTTTAGTCTCCACATGTTCATGCTTTTCCCATTTTTCTTCCTGTAATTGAGTTCTAATTTTATACCATTGTAGTGGGGGAAAATGCTTGATATAATATCTATCTCCTTAAATTTGTTCAGCCTTATTTTGTGGCCCAGCGTGTGATCTGTCCTGTAGAATGTTCCATGTGCACTTGAAAGGAATGTGTATTCTGCTGTTTTTGGATGAAATGTCCTGTAGATATCTTTTAAGTTTAACTGTTCAAGTGTGTCATTTAAGACCACTGTTATATGATTGATTTTCTGTCTGGATCATATGTTCATTGATGTAAGTGAGGTATGAAAGTTCCCTATTGTTATGGTATTGTCATCAATTTCTCCCTCTATGTGAATATTTGCTTTATATATTTAGGTGCCCCTAATATTACACTGAGTGTAATATCCTTGTCTTGTATTGACCCCCTTATCATCATATAATGCCCTTCTTTGTCTTTTGTGATAGCCTTTGTTTGAAAGTCTATTTTGTCTGAAGCAAGTATTGTTACCTTTCTTATTATTCCTGTTTGCGTAAAATATCTTTTTTCATTTCCTCATCTTCTTTGTGTATGTGAGTTTCTTAGGCAACATATAGAAGGGTCTTGTTTTTTCATTTAATCAGCCACCCTGTGTCCTTTGAGGGAGCATTTGTCCATTGATATTTAAAGTAATTATTAATAGGTATGTACTTATTGCCATTTTGTCACTTATTTTCTGCTTGTTCATGTAGTTCTTCTCCGTTCATTTTTTCTTCTCTTTGTTTCTTCCCTTGTAGTTTTGTTGATTTTCTGTAGTAGTATATACCACAGAACTCCTAGATGTTTTCATTTTTTACAATTTGCTCTTTTCTTTTGCTGTTCTGATTGGGTGATTTACATTATTCTACCAGATCACTTATGCATTCTTCTGTATCACTTAGTTTGCTCTTCATTCCTCCTAGTGTGCTTTTAATTTCAGCTGTTGAATTCTTTATTTCTGATTGGGTCTTTTAAAATACTTTCTAGTTTCTTATTAAAGTTATTAGTGTGTAGATAGTCTTTCCCCTAATTCAGTTAATATTTTTTATAACCAGTGGTTTGAATTCTTCTTCAGGTAAATAGTTTATTTATGTTTCATTATTTTTTCAGCTGTTTTTTCTTGTTCTTTCAGTTGAGAACAGTTCTTCTGCCATTGCATTTTGCTTAACTTTCTCTGTTTCTATGAGTTTAGGTGAAACAGTTACCTATTGTGGTCTTGAAGGGGTGTTCTTATGTGGCAGCATCCCTATGTGTGCCCAATGCCTTTGGTGAAAGAGCTGGATTTGGTGTGGAAACAAGTCACATCTTTCCTCAGGATGTGCTGGTAGCTATCAGCTTGGTAGGGAGTGGGATTAGAGGTGGAGGAGCTAGAGCTGGCACCAGGTGTGAAGTGGGACTTCCTCTCTGCTCAGTGGCCATGACCACCCTATGAGGGGTGGGGTCTGATCCCAAATTCCTGGAACAGAAGCCCTGAGGGTCTGACCTGGGCCAGCTCTGTTCCCTTTGTGTTTCCCCCTTTTTCCACACTGGGAGCCTTGCCAAAGTGGCGGGAAGTGCTGAAGTAAGTTGGGTCCATGGGGTCTCTTGGCCTGTGTTGACTGCAGACAGAGGTTCATGCTGTCTCTGATATGCTGCCTGTATAAGTTCCCACGATTGTTTCCCTCACAGCTGATCACTGCCCCCATCCCTGCTGCCCCTGCCCTGTTGTGGAACCACACTATAGAGCTATTGTTGTCTATGTGGACTTTCAGTATGGAGTTGAGCTATGTTCGAGTGCTGCCATCAGAGATTTGGGCTGCTTGTGATGTTCTGCTTGAGTAAGCATTAACAATGACCCCAATCCCACCCAGGCTCCACCCGAAGACCAAGTTGTCTCTGCATCTCAAGATCGAGTTTTCTCCCTGGTCATGACCACCCCAGATTTAATGCCCTGCTGCAACATGGAGTGAGCAGCACTGGTGCATTGGCCTGGCTCAGGCTGAGGCATGCACTGAGGCCAGGGAAACCTGGCAGCCACTAGAACAGAACTCTTTCCACCTTGCCTCGAGGGCAACCCAGCACTCATGTGCTGTTCATGAGCAGTGTTCAGGCTTCCCACTGCCCCCTGGTTAGTCCCAGTGGTCCTCCAACCAGCCAAGGAGTCTTGTCTCTCCTGCACAGGACCCCAGACTTGGGCATCCAATCTGTGGCTCTCACCACTCACTCCCCAGGGCAGGTGTCCACCCATGTATTCTTCCTGTTACTCTGAGTCACCTCCCAGGAACAAAGGGCCCAACCTGATCACGTTCTTCCCATTCTGCCTGATTACCTGTGTATCTTTCTTACAGCCTTGTTTGTACCAGATTCCTTCTGCCAGTTTCCAGTTAGTTTTCAGTGAGAATTGTTCAACATGTAGATGTATTTTGACGTTTTCATGGGGAGATGTGAGCTCCATGTCCTCTTAATCCACTATCCTGATCCTGCTCCTCTACAGTTCTTTTAAATACATTTATTAATGCCTATGTGTAGTTCACCTACATATTGGTTCGATTTGTTTCTGAGGTTTTGGTTTTTCGGTTTTTTTGCTGTTGTTTTCAGTCATATGGTCCTATCTCTTCCTACCATTTTTTGGTATATATTAGACATGTTTTTAAAATATGTTCCAAATGATATCACCAGCCACCAGAATCAATACATCCTTTCCCTTACTAAGTAGCTAGAATGAGTGGGCGGGTTGTGGTTTGGGCCTTATCATCTTAATCCAATCATGGATTGATCGGGGGTTGAGCTTGGGTTGCAGTTGTAATGTACCTTTGGTTTACCTTTTTAAAATTTAATTTAATTTTATATTTTTTAACATCTTTATTGGAGTATAATTGCTTTACAATGGTGTGTTAGTTTCTGCTGTATAACAAAGTGAATCAGCTATACATATACATATATCCCCATATCTCTTCCCTCTTGCATCTCCCTCCCTCCCACCCGCCCTATGCCACCCCTCTAGGGGGTCACAAAGCACCAAGCTGATCTCCCTGTGCTATGTGGCTGCTTCCCACTAGATATCGGCTTTACATTTGGTACTGTATATATATCCATGCCACTCTCTCACTTTGTCCCAGCTTCCCCTTCCCCATGTCTTCAAGTCCATTCTCTAGTAGGTCTGTGTGTTTATTCCTGTCTTGCCCCTAGGTTCTACATGACCTTTTTTTTTCTTTTTTTTTAGATTCCATATATGTGTGTTAGCATACGGTATTTGTTTTTCTCCTTCTGGCTTACTTCACTCTGTATGACGGACTCTAGGTCCATCCACCTCTCTACAAATAACTCAATTTCATTTCCTTTTATGGCTGAGTAATATTCCATTGTATATATGTGCCATATCTTTTTTACCCATTCATCTGTTGATGGACATTTAGGTTGCTTCCATGTCCAAGCTATTGTAAATACAGCTGCAATGAACATTGTGGTATATGACTTTTTTTGAATTATGGTTTTCTCAGGGTATATGTCCAGTAGTGGGATTGCTGGGTCGTATGGTAGTTTTATTTTTAATTTTTTAAGGAACCTCCATACTGTTCTCCATAGTGGCTGTATCAATTTACACTCCCACCAACAGTGCAAGA